TATTCTGTAGCCCACTATGATGAGCTACATGGAGTCATTTTCATTAAAAGACATAAAATCACCCACAGTTCTCATATTGTATCCAGTTTCAACTGTTTTGAATTTCTAATTATATACTTTGACTTAGATCTTTGTCAGTCTCCTCCTGGAGGAGGAACATACAGCAACATGCATGTTTTTATGTTTTGTACATGTCAATAAAACACTAAACTGGTAAGTTGCCAAAGAACAATCACTACACCTTGGTTTTATTTATGTGTAGTAGAATAATGTCTAGTAGAGGTGACAATACAATGAAACTATTTCTCAGTATTGGAGATTAAACAGAGGATCTTAATTATTGAAATAAAGAAGGTGAAACTTGGTGCAGCTGTTTTATTCAAATTAAAGGTAAGTACACGTACATGCATGTTTCACAACCACACCACATGTACTTGAAAAGCAGATTCATTTATAGAAATGATATTTTCACTCATTTGTTGCTGTGGTGCACGACTGCACACAACTTCTGGACCAAGCGGAGTTTCATCCATCTCCTGGGAGAACCTTACACAGAAATACAACACAAAGGAGGAAAACAATTAAAATGCTGTTCTTGTTTCAAGGTTTTAAAACTTCTAACCAGTGGATTAAAAGGAGTTACCAAACTGTAATTTTTCATCACTAACTTTATTAACAAAGGCAGTCATAGTGGAAAATAAATAATATCAGTGACTTTAACTGTAGCACGTTAAATACTAGGAGCAATAATTACATATGATTTATTTTGTTAACACTAATTTAAGTATGAAAGGCAGTCATAGGCAAAATAAATAATGTGGTAATGTGAGAAATAATCAGTGATATTTACGGGGCACAAGCTACATCAAGTAGATCTTTACTGAAGCACAAGCTTCAGGTAAACTGAAGTAGCTTACTGTAGTCTCTAGTACTAGTAAGCTACTCCAGCTTACCTGACGTAGTTTGTGCTACAAAGATCACTGATATTTACTGTAGCACAAGCTACATCAGCTAAGCTAATCTTTGCTACAGTAAATATCAGCGATCTTTAATGTAGCAAAGATTAGCTTAGCTGATGCAGCATGTAGATAGCTATGAGGGACATCTACGTGTATACTATTGTAACTACTGACTCTGCCAGTCACCAGAACTTTATTAACATGAAGAGTTCGGACGTCCTTCACAAATCCATCATTGATTATAAGCATCCATGGATTTAAAGCTGCGAAGCTCCTCCATTGTAGGCACTACTCGTGTTCATTAATAATTAACAATATCAAAGTAACTTCTCTGTGACAACTTGTCTTTTTCGTCTGACATGATTTCTTTCTCCACCTCATAGGGACCGCAGCTATTTTATGCCTATATCTTGCTCTTGGTCAAGAGTATCAATATACTGAGCTCTGGTCTGTCTGTAAGCCATCTTCTTCACATGCGCCTCTAAAAAATGGTGGAAAACCCGGTATTGCGCAATACCGGTCACGTGTGTGGGAACTATGTATTCACAGGGGGCTGAGTGATACTAGCAATAACAGCATCGTAAGAGTGGGACAGTTGAACACGGCAAACTGGTTGTGAACTGGTGGCTCCACTATGAGAAGGTGCTATATATAAGACTGAGTTGAATACAGCACCTCAGACTGAAGAAGTCTTTCGGACGAAACGTTTCTACAATTTTTTTGTTTGTTTTTTGAATGTCCAGAGGACTTGACTTAACTTTTTTAGATTCCTTCCTTAATCTACGATAAGACTGTCTGAACATTGCTTCAGACCGCATGGTTCCACAGATTTGGCAACAAATTGGCCACTTGTGAAGTCAAGTTTGAGACACTTAGATAATATATTTGACCAGTCAGTGTTTCTTGACAGTTACTTCAAACAGATGGTTTAAAACTGTTCTTTCCCCACTTAAGAAATATTGCCAAGTTTAGAAGGTAGGTGTCAAAACATGAATTGAATAGTTATCCATGCTTGGTTTAGTGTCTTGTAGGTTTGGGGTGGGGGTGTTAAAATAGTTTAAAAACACTATAAATTTAGACAAATGGTAAAGGGTCCAAACGTACGTTATATAGTGTTTTTGTTGGTTTTATACAGTTCATAGTGAATTACTTTTGTATGGTCATGCAGGTTTCTGAGTATATTTGTGAATTGTTAAAGTTTGTACTTCAGCTTGGGCCTTGGTCTAATTAGACAGTCTTAGCAGTTCCTGGGACCAAGTTTAAAACCTTTGGGGTATCAGTCCTTTCAAGCTGTGGCACCTCAGCTGTGGAATGACCTTCCTTTGGTTTTACATCATAACAACAGTGTCAACTCCTTTAGAACCTACCTGGAGACTTTTTATTCAGACAAGCTTTACTGAGTTTTTTTTTTTTTTTTTTTTTTGTTTAATGATTGCATAGCTCCTCCTCTCTGTTATGGTATCTTATATCTGTTCATTATTTTGATGTTATCTATCTTATTGCATTCTGTTTTATGGTTTTTCACTTCATCATAAAGCACTTTGTGGTTTTTCTTGTCTGTGAAAGATGCTATATAAGTAAACCCTACTTGTTACATACAATTCAATCTAGTTATAATACAATTAGATTTAGTAAATGTCAGTTAGTAGTCTTTGCTTTGCTACCCTGCAATCCCCCGTCCTGAACAAGCACAGAGGAGCAGGCAACAGTGGAGAAATAACTCTTGTTTAACAGCAGACACCAGGGTGGGCAGCCATCTGCCTCAACAAGCTAGAAGCTGAGAGAACAACTGGCTGGGGGTTGAGAGAACATTTTTACTGGGAAAATTATGGAAGTCTTCTTCCCCACAACCACAGAAAATCATCAGAAATATCAGCACCAGTAGAGTTTAATGGCCACAGCGGAGCTGTATTTGTGCATGGAGCGTATACACCGACCACATATAACAAACCAGTCACACTCTTCCTCTGGATGATCAGACTGATGCTCCTGACTCCAGCCTCCTGCTCTCTGAACTATAAAACAGAGCTCAGCTCATTGAGTTACAGCTTTAGAAAACTGATACTTCAACTGTTGTTCTACAGTCATTGTGGACAAAGTAAGCATAACACATGGTGGAGCACAAAATCCACCCATCCATTATCTTTACCCGCTTCTTCATTGTCAGACTGCGGGGGGTCACTGGTGCCCATATCCAGGAGTCACTATGTGAGAGGCGGGGGACACTCTGGACAGGTTGGAAGTCCATCACAGGGACAAAAATGGAGTATCTACAGTGGAAGTTGTCTCCAGCTACAAGTACTTGGGTGTGCACCTGAATGACAACCTCAGCAGGGGCAACAACCCTTCCAGCCCGATCAAGAAAGCTCATCAGAGACTCTACTTCCTCAGGCGGCTGAGACGAGCTGGTCTGGGAAGCTCAGTCCTCACCTCCTTCTGCAGGTGTGTAGTGGAGAGCATCCTGTGCTCCAGCATCAACGTGTGGCATGAAGGCTGCACAGAAGTTTGTTGGAGTCAGTCTCCCCACCATCACAGACATCTACACCTCCAGATGCAGGAAGAGGACCACCTGCATCATGAAGGACCCCACTCACCCAGCACACACAGTTTTTGCCCCACTCTCCTCAGGCAGGAAGTTAAGGAGCATTAAGTGTAGAACCACTAGACTGAGGAACAGCTTCTACCCTGAGGCTGTTAGACTCATGAATCTCTAATCAGAATAACCACTGTGAAAAAAAAAACATTGTAATGCCACAACAATTGTTGATATGAGCTGCTGATCTCATGCTGCTGATTTATTTCATGTTGCTGTATTAATTCGTAATCATCTGCTCACACAGACTCATGTTTGTGTTGCTGTTGTTCAACGTATTGTTTTTGTACTACTAGTGCTTAGTGTATTTAAGCATATTTCTTAGTTTGTATCTTAGATATTATTACTCATTTTCTTTACAATTTGTTTAGTTGGATTGTATACCTGGATTATTGAGCATGGACTTTGTTGTTTACAATTTATACTTATGTTGGATGTAACTAGGGGCAGCACGGTGGCACAACTGGTAGAGCTGCTGCCTCTCAGCAAATTGGTCCCTGGTTCAAATCCAGATCAGGGGGCCTTTATGGGTGGAGTTTGCATGTTCTCTCTGTGCATGTGTGGATTTTCTCCAGGTACTCCAGTTTCCTCCCACAGACCAAAAGCATGCATGTTAGACTGATTGGTAACTCTAAATTGTCCCTAGGTGTGAGTGAGAGAGTGAATGGTTGTTTGTCTCGTTTGTCTCTATGTGTCCCTGTGATGGACTGAAGACCCGTCTAGGGTGTACCCCGCCCCTCCCACAGTGATTGCTGGACATGGGCACCGGCGACCCCCGTTTCCCAAAATGGAAGAAGCGGGTAAAAGACAATGGATGGATAGATGTAACTGGGACTCTGTATACACAATTTTGTTCCATCGCATGTACCACATGTGATACGAATGACAATAAAGAAACCTTGACATAGAGACAAAGGAGACAAACAACCGTTCACTCTCTCACTCACACCTAGGGACAATTTAGAGTTACCAATCATCCTAACATGCATGTTTTTTGGTTTGTGGGAGGGAACTGGAGTACCCAGAGAAAACACACACATGCACGGAGAGAACATGCAACTCCAACCAAAAAGGTCCCCAACCAGGATGTGAACTGGCAATCTTCTTGCTGAGAGGCAACAGCTCTACCAACTGTGCCATCATGCTGCCAGAGCACAATATCATTGTAGAAATTAATGGAAAACTGTTTGAATCCAACTGACTCATATGTTTCAGTTTTATCTTTGGCACTTTCCAATCTGGTAGATCTTAAACATGTCACAAATGTGCAGGCAGCTGTCAACGTTACCAGGAAAGGTGTGGTCCTGATGGGAGTGGTGCGGCGTGGCTCATCAACATGCAAAGCAAGGCTACGCTGAAGCTCAGGGGACTGGCTGAGACCACAGCCTTACCTTTATACCACTTCCTGACGAGGCCAGGAGTCTCACCTGAAGAGAAAATTATCTTAGTCCTTACAGGTGTGGTGCAGAAGAACCAGAAGAAAGTGCAGTCATGTCAGAAAAACAAGACACACCTCTGGTGAGTATATATTGAATGCCCATTGTCTTTCCCGCTCTTTCTTTTTGTCACTTTAATAACACAGAAATGTCAAACTGTCGGCAATTTATAAAATAAATAACACTTTCTGCATTAGCTGAAATATGCACTGTAAATGATGACTAATGTTCACATCTGTACTGGATGTTAAGCTGTGGTCAGTTCCAGTTAAAGGTTTGTTTTCATGGTGTAAACTTCTGTAGAGTTTCATCTTTAGAACATGTAATTAAACTGCTCAGTTCACTTTTATTTATGCGCAGTAGCACCAAAGTTCAAGTTATCTCCGGGGACGTTGTATCTGAAAGTTGTAACCTTGCTGTATTAATGAAAAACAACTCCCACTGGAGCCGCTCTTGGCAACCGAGGGAAAAACATATTTTTGTAATAGAAGAGTCAGGGAGCGTGGCCACATCTTATCTATCGCTCAATGCCATAGAGGCACATTTAGTTTATTTTTATTAGCAAATATTGTTTTTTGTTTTTTAGTTGCTCTTCTGTGATTTTATAAAATGTTTCCCAATTCTAATAAGGCAAACCCAGCATTATTACACTGAAAATGTTTTATTAGGTTCATTCATTCATTCAACCTTTATTTATACAGGTTAGTCTCGCTGAGGACTCGTTTACAAGAGAGACCTCTTTTAGCCATACAACATATAAAGTACAGACAACAATAACAGTAAGCAATAATAACATTAAACTGCAGTAAAGATGCAGTTAAAATAAAATTAGTGTTATAAAACAATAAATCAAGGTGCCGTAAAACAAGGTAAAATACTAAAAATGATGTCTAAAGCCCAGTGAAGTTTTAGGCATCTTTATCTGCTTTAATTTTAAAATGACTTTATGTCTTGGGCCAAAAAAAAAAAAAGTTAAAATTAAAAACTTATAACACTTTTACCTTATTAAAAAAAACATTATAAACGTTCAAAAAGTCATTTTTACTCAAGACAGCGTACGACTTTTTAAGGATCAGACATGTTTGTTGGGCCCTACAGCTTATAAAGTATCAAAGGTTATTTAGGCAACAAGTATCAAGTATGTGAACTTACAAGGAATTTCATCTCCTTAAGACCTTAACTCATCCACCCACACTGTGCACACAGCTCAGTAACCTTTCCTCTACCTTTGCATGCAAATTGTCAAGTTTGCATGCAGCATCCTTTTCCCTCCCAGACTCAAACCAGTAGTCAAATGAAAGCTTCCCTAGCATGCTGCTCACTTCTACTAATCAAGTGGCTGAGGAGAAATCAGCTCTCTTTCTGTGCGGCCTGCTCACCAACGCCTTTCCTGATTCCAAGTACACAGACAGGCTGCTGTTCCCTGTGATAGGGACGTGCTCGGCTGTTGCAGCTTTAATAATCATCTTTCACAGGCAGCTCAAGTGGCCATGCAAATTAGGCTGACTGATAAAAGTCTGTGTTTACTCAGACAAAGGGATAATCTTATCAATATTGGATGAGTTTGCTTTTTGTACCCAGTGCCATTTATTTCTAAGAACAGAATTGTTCAGAGTTTTGTTAAAAAAAAACAAAAAAAAAACAATACCCACTTTTAGAATATCATTTTTAAGCATACATAGTCAAATAAAGTAATTATATTCATATAAAGGTGTAAAGTTAGAAGAATTTCAGGTAACTTTACACAAATCAAAAACAGAATAACTCAATCAGCTCAACATTTTTATGAATTAGAGGAGCAACTTTTTATTTCCTCTACTCATACAAATGAGTTCCTTCACCTTTTAACATCCACAACTTTAGTTATATCCTTTTAAAGTGAGGGCTTTGTGCAGATCACAGCATCTTTTGCAAAACTCTTTGTTCTTTTTGTCACTGAAGACAATCTGTATGTGTGGCGGATGTGAATGAGGGACAATTGCACTGAGCAGCTCATGAGTAGCTATGAATATAAAAAGCAGGAAATATTTAAATCCTTGCCCTTTGTTCCCATTTTGCCCTAAATCGGAAGAGTTTCACGTTTCTTTCACCCTCGGTGTGGCCCAGTTTCATAAAGGGATGATCTTTCATGTATTTTTTTTGTCCAAGCATCAGACAGCACTTTGCATGCGCAGCGAGAATGAAAATTCAGCCAGCTTTGCATTAACCACAAGTACTTATTATAACCTCCCCGTCGGTATGAGGGTGATGAGTGAGTTTTAATAAATTTAGTGGAAAATTAACTCCATGTCTGCATATTCATTTGTTTGCAGGAGCCATTACAGCCGCAAACGAGATGCCTGCGATGTGGAAACATCCTGGAGTGGTCAGAAGAGCACAGGTGTGTGCATGTATATGTAGAAGACAGTAAAGGTGCAGATATGTTTAGTTCTCTGCATGAAATAGTATTTACCATAACAGTAACTAGAGAAGCTTTTATTGGGGACTGCCTGGCCCAAACCACAATGTGTAGCCCCACAAATTAAAACCAAAACAACTAGCTCAGCACCGTGATGTGTGCTATTACTTTTATTGGCTTTTCGAGTTACCATGATGACGTTATTTGCAAACAAATATGCCATTTTTTATCAGTGAAAAACACTAACACAACTCAACAGCTTCTAACTGCCACAGTAAGGTCACATGACCTAAACTCAGTATGGCATCGAACAAACTTTTCCTACCACCACATTTTTTATGATACACATATATGCCGTAGTTTCCGCCTTACAAGTCACACCACCATATAGGTCGCATCCAGTGGTTATTTTGAGCCGGATCCTGCCGGAACAAGATCTGAGAACGCCCTCATTTTCACCGTGTGCATTCCGGCAACTGTTCAGTCAGATCCATCAGCTCATACCTCCGCCCATAAAAGTCATTGCGCCTTTTTATTTTGATTATTTATTAAAAGTACAATGACAGGAGACGTTGTTCATGTCTGTGGAGTGGATGTTACTGCTGCAGCAGGCGCACCAGCTCTTACACACAAATGTTTACAGATGTTTAACAACCTGTTAAAATACACCAAAATTCAGGAAATGGCATATCTTTTATTCCAAATTTTCTGGGGGAGGACACTCGCCCCCACACACACACACACACCGCCAGACTGCCTGCTATTTGTGTTCCGGCATCCATTTGTTTACAAATTAAGCCCTCCCACATAGCAAAATTAGTCTGGGCCAGATGTGGCCCACATCTGGCACTTACATCTGGCCCACATGGCTCAATGAATGACGGGGCCCCCATGGCCCAGGGCTGGTTTGCCAGATGTGGCCCATATGCGGCCAGAACTGGGCCAGGTGTGGGCCAAATGAGAACACACCAACTGGCCCATAGCTGGTCCAGATATCGTTTAACCTCTGGCAAACCAGTCACGGACCAGTGGTGGCTTGTCATTCATTGAGCCATGTGGGCCAGATGTAAGTGCCAGACGTGGGCCACATCTGGCCCAGACCAAATTTATATTATTTTAAAATGTCAATAAAAATACAATAGAAATACAATTCTTTTATTAATGCATTTTAATTTCAAACACAATATACATAAATAAATGAAACATTGATAAATAACATTGATAAACAAATAAAACACATAACATATATTTATATAAATAAAACATTGAGGTTCACATTATACTGTATATAT